CCATCTTTCTAATGCAATTTTCTATTTTCTGTAATTTCTAGTCATTTTCATTTAGTTCTCTTTTCTTTTTATAGTTCTTTTCCTCATTGACTCTAGTGACATGACATGCACGCGTAATTCTCAACCTGGTTTTAAAAATTAGTTTAGTCACGAAGCAACGAAACAATGTTGAAGATGTAGGGACATTTGAGGGAGATAAGCAAAGGCATTTTGAGATCACTTCAAGCCCAAATTGTGTGAAACTGGGGCAGATAAAACATAAAAATACACTATTGAAATGCATCATGCTGCATCGGGTGAAGATAACGGCAAGTTTTCCCCAAATTTGTAGGGGGCAGTTCGTGGTAATGAGAGTGAGAGTGTTGTCCAATGGTGCTTTGTATGTAACAGATGTAGAAGGCGAATGTGTGGATATGGTCATCAAGTCTGGCGCAATCAAAAGATGTTACGAATGTTTTCCTTGGTTTGTTTAATTGTGCCGTTTGCATTTGGCATGCTTTGAAGATTGGAATGACGAAGGCATTTTGTTCTGCTATCTAAACACTTTATCCTTTGTTACCCCCTTTGAGCCTTACTTACTTCCTTTCGTACCCCTCTTTTGGAATCAGTAGCAAAGATCAGAAATGCAAGCGCGAAAGATAAGTAAAGAAAAAGAGAGAAAAGAAAAGATGAAAATTGAAAAAAAAAGAGAAAAAAAAAGGGAAAAAGAAGGAAAAAATAACAAAACAACAAAAAGAGTAAAGAAAAGAAAAGAAAAGAAAAAAAAGAGGAAAGAAAGAGAAATAGAAGAAGAAAAGAAGAGAGAGAAAAATACGAAGCAATTTCTATGTCATGAACTACGTTTGACCTGATTCCTTTTAAGGATACGTAGGCAGCCTCACGGTTCGGTCCCATCAAAATAAAATCCAAAAGTCCCCAAGCAAAGAAACTGGGGCAAAAGTTGTGGTTCTTGTAAGAAATCTGATTCCGAAAGTTGTAATCTTGAACCCAAATGAGTTGTTTTGAGCCTTTTGATACCCTTTCTTTCTAACCTTATCCAAAAGCCCACATTACAATCCAAAGAAAGACCTTCCGATCAGTCTTCGAGAGATGCCAAGGCGAGCAAATAGAGGTGAATCATATCAGGGCCAACACTCCGATCCAAACAAGGGAAATGAAAAACGAGAGAGTCTTATTGATGAAAACCCTCATGGGTACCGCAAGGCGTTGAAAGCTGAGAAAATCAAAATGAGAGAGTCTTATGGGTGAAAACCTTCACGGGCACCTTGAGGCGACAGTAAGTTGAGAGAAAGAACAAAATGAGAGAGGCTTGATGGTGAAAACCCTTCGGGCACTACAAGTCGAATAAGGATTGTGAGTCAGATTGGATAATCGAAGCATTGAAGCCTAGTTTCATGGTTTAAGGGTACAACAAGAGTTGAACATCAGGCTTACTTGACAGAATAGGCCACAGGTGCATGTCATTGTCATTAGAGTTGGTATCCACATCTGATAGGTTTCTACTTTGTAGTTTTCTTGTTATGAATCACCTCTTTCTTTTGTCCTTTACTCTGTTCCTTTTGTCCTTTACGCTGTTCCTTTTGTCTTGTTTACTTTATCTTCCTGAGTCTGTTTGGTCAGAACAAGTGAGAAATGACTTCAAAATTTGCCACCAGCTTTCCAATTTCACAAAACGGGATCTGGCCAGCACATCAAAGTGGCATAAGTTAGGAAAGAACAACAAGCGCATTGAGCTAGTAATAATCAACATGCTTTGGGATACTTGTGAAATACAAAGGTTTGGTACATATCAATTCATGAACAATGCAACAGATGGAGGGTGTAGGGTGAACGGATCAAAGGTATTTTCTGTGGTAAGATTAACAAAGAAAGTGGTTGACCAGTGACAAGCAAGGTCTTCCAAGCAGAAATCAAAGTTATCGTGGCAAGTGAAGGAGCAATAGACCTCAAGGCCAATGCCAGTGGGTTAAGTTAGGAAAGAACATCATGCACATTGAGTGGACGGTAATTGACGTGCTTTGGGGTTCATGTGAAATACAAAGGTTTGGTACATATCAATTCAGGAACAATGCAACAAGATGGAGGGTGTTAGGTGAACGAATCAAAGGTATTTCTGGTGAAACACAAAGGTTGGTAAATGTCAGTTCATGAGCAATGCAAAAGATAAAGGGAATTGGGTCTGAACGGAGAAGGGGTATTTTCTATGATAAGGACGACAGAGAAAGTGGTTAGTCTATAAACAAGCAAGGTCCTCGAGTGGAAATCAGTTATCATGGGAAGTGAAGGAGCAATCGCCCTCAAAGTCAAGGCCACAAACCAACCACCACATTTTAAACTGACAAGGTTTTTCTTTGATTGAAACAGGGGCAGGAAATTTCGGTTGTTTCGGAGAAACCCTCCATGGAGAAAGGCAATCACCAAACAGGTTTGATTTTTGATATTTAGGACCCTTCTGAAAAATAGGACCTAGTTCAGAAATAGCGTAATCTAGCATAAATGTATCCCAAAGGAATATAAGCTGGTTTAGAAGTTTGCATGTTCGAGATAAGATTCAATTAGGAGTTTTCAGGACCCTCCTGAATAATGGGACTTAGCTTTAAGATTTCGATTAGATAACAACATTTAGCGTAAATTCTGCTGTAGGGTAGTATAATTCAACCATAAAAGTTGACACTCTTAAGATAAAATTTGACCTTTGATTTTCAGGACCCTCCTGGATAATGGGGAGTAGTTTAAAGATCCTCTTAGATAACAAGATTTAGCAGAAGTCACACCTTTAGAAGATATAGCTTAGATTTAAAATTGTCGTTTAGTTAAGAATTGTCAGGACCCTCCTGAATAATGGGACCTAGCTTTAAAATTTCCATTGGATAACAAAATCTAGCGTAAGTTCTGGTGTAGGGTAATATAAGTTAGCCGTAAAATTGTCACTTTTAAGATAATACTTGATTTTTAATTTTCAGGACCCTCCTGGATAATGGGATTTAGTTTTAAGACCTCCATAGATAACGAGATTTAGCGGAAGTCACACCTTTAGGAAATATAATTTAGCTTTAAAACTGTCATTTCACTAGGAGTTTTCAGGACCCTCCTAGTTAATGGAATCTAGCTTTCAAATTCTTAGAATACTTGGTGACATGATTTAGTTAACACTCACGTATGCGCCCAGCTACCAAACTGGGGAAGAAAATTTTTCTTTATTTTTGTCTATTTTGTTGAAGTCAGGAGCCCGCCTGGAGAGCAGGGAATACATTTCAAGTCAGCAGTCAGAAGCCCACCTGGAGAGCAGGAAATACATTTTAAGTCAGCAGTCAGGAGCCCGCTTGGAGAGCAGGGAATACATTCAAGTTCAGCAGTCAGGAACCCGCCTGGAGAGCAGGGAATACATTTCAAATCAGCAGTTAGGATCCCGCCTGGAGAGCAGGGAATACATTTAAGTCACCAGTCAGGAGCTCGCCTGGAGAGCAGGGAATACATTTCAAATCAGCAGTCAGGAGCCCGCCTGGAGAGCAGGGATTACATTTCAAATCAGCAATCAGGAGCCCGCCTGGAGAGCAGGGAATACATTTCAAGTCAGCAGTCAGGAGCCCGCCTGGAGAGCAGAGAATACATTTCAAGTCAGCAATCAGGAGCCTACCTGGAGAACAAGGAAGTACAATTCAAGTTTTAGCTTTCAAGTTCTTATTGATATTTGGTAATGTGGTTCGTTTTACACTTACATATGTGTCCAGATACCCAAACTGGGGCAGAAAAATTTTCTTTGTTTTGTCTATTTTCTTGAAGTCAGGCGCTCACCTGGAGAGCAAGGGAATACATTCAAGTTCAGTAGTCAGGAGCCCACCTGGAGAGCATGGGAATACAGTTCAACTTCAGCTGTCAGGCATCCACTTGGAGAAAAGGAAAGCATCTCAAAGTACAATTCGAGTTCGGCAATCAAGTATTCACCTAGAGAAAGGGAAAGTAGCTCAAATTACAATTCAAGTCAGCAACAAAAGGAGCTCGCGGCAAAAATGCGAGTCAATAGTCCGAGGTGATCAACAGAAGTTAGTCACAATAAAGAAAAAGGAGAAGGGCAAAAAGTTAATCCAAATGCATAAGTTGATGGAGGATGTGAACTGCTTAAGACATGGTGGAAGTCACAAGCACTATAGGTCCGGTCTTGATCCAAAAGCTGAAGAAGAACGAGCTAGCACCTGCAGCTAACAAACGTCAAGGTTCAAATCTAAAGTCTGCATGAAGAACCATTCAAGACTCAAGATCAAGCTTCAGAAGACTTATAGATAGGAATCTTGTAACTCATAGTTGACATGCTTAGTTAGTCTTTTTTGCATTTTGATTTTTGATGTAATAACAGGATCGCGGACCGAAACCTCTGCGGAACGGCACCTCGACTGGCTATCCACCTCGGTACTCCATCATCTCACTCACCTCTAAGCTACACGTGACCTGATTCCTTTATAGCCAAGGATATGTAGGCAGCTCAGATACCAGAGCTCGGTCACATTCCCCTTTTCTTAGTTTTAGTCCCTCCAAATAAGGGTCAGGTCAAAAAACCTGTCTAGTCATTATTTGTCTAAAAAACTCTTCGCGTTTCCAGTCAAAGAGGGGCAACTGTAGACATGTGATTTTTGACCCTCCCCAAGATTTTTTATATTTTAGCGTAAAATATTTAATTTAGGCCTAATATAACTATTTTGATGAAAATTACAAAAATTATTCCATTAATGTTTTATAGTCATTTTTAATATTGAAAATACCAAAAAAAAAATTTTATTTTAAAGGTCAATCTTATTTTAACAACTATTTTACTTAAGTAGGACTAATTAATAATTGAGATCGTATTTTTAGTCTTGTTCGCGGGGAAAAGATAGAACTTGAGCTCGAGCAACCCATTTTTAGGCCTAATTTTGGATCTAGCCCATAATTCCTAGTATCATACCCCTTAACCTAAAAACCCTACCAAAACCTAGACTCTACATAAAGAAGACACCTAAAAAAAATCTAATAAGGAGGGCGCCTAAGAATCAGCTGATAGCCGCAGAGACTAAGGAGACTCCCCCCTCGATCTGGTTCTTGATCTCACCATCAACACCAGATAACAGAACCCCCATTTTTTCCAACCTAGAGCAACCTAATTCTTTCTGTTTTCCAGGAGCGAACAAATGGCGAAAGAGAGTCCCTCCAAAAATTAATCAGCATCGTTACTCCTCTTCCCCACCTTCATCATCTTCTTTCCATCAAATTAAAAAAAAAACACATACAAGAGAAATGGACAGATTCAAAAGAAAAATGAATGAAAAAACAGAAAATAAAGGGTTTGAAGGCTATTCGAATTTCTGCTCTTTTGCTTTAGTTTTTTTGGAATTTCGAGTGACATTTGGGTTGAAGAAGTTTTGTTTGGTTGCTGGAACTGTCGTTGATGTTCTGCTGAGTCCGCGTAGCTGAGCTTTCTAGTTTCTTCTTCACCTTTGTTTGATTCTATTTTTCCTGATTCACTACTGTCCAGGTATTGTTACTTTCGAACCTGTATTTCAGCCTAATAGGCGAATTTTTGGAATTATTGGGATTGACTACTAGATCTTCTTCATTTAATTGCTTTGTTAAGTGTTTAAATCTGAAAATTTGAGTTTGAATTCTAGCTTGAATTTGTCTGGTTTTAAGGTGAATGATTGGAGTTGTATTGACTTTATGTTTGATGTTAGAGTTTAATGAGGCCGGCGCTACTCGTCGCATTGACACTATGGGTTGGAGCATGAAAGAAAATGGAATCATGGTCAATCTCAAAAGAACCATAGGACTAAATAATGATAGTGTAAAGAGATTGAGTGTTATTTAATTAACTATAAAAAGTTATTAAATGTATCAGTAGAGTGGAAGGTAATTTCTCATGCATTATTCTGAAGGATTTGAGTTTACGACATTTTTCTCTTTCCAATGACACATGAATTATGTTATATACAAAAGTGCAGAGACATTTCTATTACTTGTTTAGAAATTGGTTGTACTTATATACCCATGATCACCTCATGTATGCATCCAAAAATTTAAGTTTGGAATTACTGATAGCCAAGTCCCTTGTTGCTTTCGGGCTCTTGCTGGAGCTTTCCTTGAAATCTAGATAACTTCACAAAGAAGAGGGACGAGGTATTAATTTTGTTAAAGTAATTAATTTAGAGTGAATAAGTTTGTTAAATGCAATATGAGCTCTATTTGATACATGATGCTTCCTGCTTTGTTTTGGGATATGTTTGAAGAAATTGATTCTTTGCTTCTGATTCTTGATTGATTTGATTACTTTATTATCTTTAGAATATTACTTAGATTTCTTACGAACTGTTGTTCGTAAATAGGTCATGGGTTACGATCTCAAGAGGAGAATTGTATTTGACATTAAACTAAGAGTTTAATTTGCGAAGCTCCATAACTTTAGTATATACTTCAATAAGCTATACCACATTTCCACAATTAATTTACTTTATTTCTTCCATACTTTCCATAGCTCAAGGCCTTACAATAATCTTAAACTTAGAAAAAATAATTGTTGAACTTTTGTAGCTTTGTTTTAGGCGCGATTAATGAACCATCGTGATTATGGGTACGGTTCTCGTAACATAGTTACGATGCCTAATTTCCAAAATTCGGGTATGCATTTCGTGTGACCCAATTTCAATTCTTAACAGCGTTAAATAAAATGTGTCTCGGACTGCGGGTGCATTTAATGTGGCGTGGTCCAAGTACGTGTTTTAGATGACGTTGAAATCTTCCTTAAAACAATTAAAATCGGTTTAAAGCTAAAATGCACATAGGTCTAAAAGTGTTTTTAAAATCAAATAATTGAGCCAAAAATAACAGTTGAGCGACCGTGCTAGAACCACGGAACTCGGGAATGCCTAACACCTTCTCCCGGATTAACAGAATTCCTTACCCGGATTTCTGTGTTCGCGGACTGTAAAATAGAGTCAATCTTTTCCTCGATTTGGGATTCTAAACCGGTGACTTGGGACACCATAAATTATCCCAAGTGGCGACTCTGAATTTTTAATAAAACGATCCCGTTTTGATTGTCACTTTAAGTTGGAAAAAACTCCCTTGTGTAAGAGAAAAAGGAAGTGTGACACCACACATTTCCGTTTTTATTCAAGTTATCATGGAAAACACATGCTTGTTAACATTAACCATATTATCTTAGCTAGACAGAACAACATGGTGTCATAACAGGACCACTAACTGAAACCACTTCACTAAATAAGAAAGTCAACATGATAATTTGGGCAAGACCATCAGTGGGAGTCATTTAATCAACTAAACACAATCAGCATGGTGCTATAAACATGAGAATCATTTGAGCAGTACATTGGATAATGTAGGCATGGAGACTTCAGCTAATTAAACAGGATATCATGGAAGGCTTAAGAACATTATTCAGTCACCTTAATCAACATGACAATATATGTATATGTATCTCTCAATCAACAGAGTGTAGTCCACATATGGTCACTAGCACATTATTTATTCAACCAACATGAGGAGTTGATAGAACTTTCCATAAAGATAACAATAATGTAAAAAAATCATCTCAATGAGTTAAGCATGAAAAACAGAATTCAACGACCATCATGAAGTATTGATTCAACAACAACATAGGGGTAAACATATATAATTATCAGAAAATCACCGTTTGATTAAGACAAGAGTAACACAAAAGGGTGGATCACAATAAGAAAATCACATGTTTACTGGTATCATAAAGAAGAATGGTCAGGTAATTAACGGAAACATCAAACAGATAGAACTACATGACAAACTTGAACGATTGAATAATAAAGAGGGGGCTCAGTGGTTTACTAACCTTCTTTGGAGTAGCAAACTAGGTACAGGTAATCACTAGCCGTTTAGGAACCCAATCTCATAATCAACTCGCGGTGGTCGAACTCAAGAAGAAGTGAAAGAAAGAAAATAAATTAGAGAAGAAATTTAGAGTATTTAAACATATACTACCTTCATTTCAATTTATGTGAATCCATTTGACTGGGTATAGAGTTAAGAAAAGAGAGGACTTTTGAACTTGTAGTGTAAATGAGGCACATATATTTTGTTTGGTTATAAATCATTGCATAAAGGTAAATTATTTCCAAATAAAGAAAGAGGTCATTCTTTTGGGCACTAATTAAAAAGGAAGTAGGTCCAGATATATTGAAACGGAAGGAGTAGTATTTATTAGGTTTTTAGGTAGTTCGTCCTATTAGGTAAGAGCATTAAAGCCTCTATTTATATTGGCCATCAGAGCCTTTAGGGTTTATCTGAATTCAAAGAGATAGTGGAATATGATGATTGAAAGCTGATGATAGCAAGAGGGGG